CAAATATCTTAACAATAATAAAGGAGGGGTCCATATTTTGGTATAAACAATCTACTTTTGACAATTTCTTGTCTACGCAGCATTATAATAGCAAAATTTTGGGTCACAAATGTCTTAACAATAATAGAAGGAGAGCTGCAGGTGAATATTTTGGTACAAATAATCTGCAGGAAAATATATATATATATATATATATATATATAAATAATTTTAAGTCTTTCAATTGGAGAATTAACAAACTTTTACCTAACAAAGAGAAGAAAAAAACCAAGTACGGATCAACCTTTGCAACTGTCGGTTGAGGACAAGATGACGAATATTGTTTTGACATATAAAAGTGTTGGGCTCTTCATTTTCTTAGAAATATCATCCTTCTTGATAATTGCCTAATATGAGTTGAAAAAAAAATTTGTAAGCCCAGAAAAATCTTTTAGAACTCTCCGAAGAGAGATATTATCTGCACTCTTATTTTTAGTTAACCGCACTTCGATTATCATTGTAATCACATAATTTTCATTTATCAACCTAAATAATAAAATAAATAGTAAGAGTGTAAATAATAATAAAAAATTGAGTACAAATAATATTTCCCGTGCGAAACAAGTACTCAAAGAGGCAAAATTGATATCTCCTAACGATAAATTGCTTGCGTGACAAACTCCAATTGACTTCGTGAATAGAGATGTGGCAATATATATATATATATATATAATTTTTTTTGCTGACACAGTGGGTATTCGGGATTCGACGGATTATATTTTAAAAACCCGATTATTTGATTATTTCCACTGCATTTGTCCCCCACCCCCTAAGAAGATATAAAAGACGATAATAGGGATTGAACCGCGATCACTCGATGCCCCGGACTTGAAGAGACTTCCCCAACACTAGTCGAGCCAACCGGGGGTGATGTGGCAATATAATATGACCCATAGGAATTTAGATTGATGAAGGAGAGAGAGTCATTGATCATTTGTTGGAATGGCATGAATCAGCTATTCTACGTAAACTAGGTTGCTTTTTGCTACATGGCCATATAAGTGGCATATAATTATTATCCCATGGGACCTGCATGACTATTCATGACGCAAAAACTCAACTTTCCTTTTATTTAAAACAGAATGAGAATTTTAGTTATGAGAACTTACCAGCCTAAATGTCTCAGCACAAGACAAGGCTGCCTTTCTGAGATAAATTGACATCGATCCATAAATCTTGGCAGTTCCAAAAAAAAAAAAAAAAAAAAAAGAGCGCTCGAAATCGTGGCCGCGACTCCATCGAATTTTTGTGGTATAAAAAGGAATAACAAAAATCTAGGCCCGTCGTTGCTTCGCTAATCCGGTGACATTTGTGTTTTGTTTTGTGGTATTCTTAAATCACTTCGGCAGGAAGAATTGGGAGTAAGTTGCTTTTGACCAATGATGTAATGCATTCTCGTTCATATTTGTAGTATGGTACGCGCCCTTGGAGCCAGCAATATTTGGTCCTTCTTAGGTAAATGTCACAGTCCTAAAAGAAACGAACAAAAGGGCAATTTTGTGCCCCTAAAGATTTACATGATGCAAGATTGCAAGCATGCTCCAAAAATTAAAGAAAACTAAAAGACATTCTAGCTATTCCTTGAATCTTTTGTACTGAGTGTGTTTGGCTTGGAGGTGAGATACAAGAAAACAAGATTAAAAGAAGAAATATATATATATATATATATATATATATATATATATATATATTGTATTTAGAGAAACGTTGATGACATCTCTTTTTTTTTTAAAAAAAAATGACAATCTTCTTCATTTTTTTTTAAATTCATGTACAAGAATAAAAATGCCTTTACTACTGTTTATCTTCCAATTATATAAAAAGGGGTGATTGTAAATTCAATAAAAGATAGGGGTATTCTTCCTCAATTCAAGTGATAAAAAGATCAAAGGTAAAAAAACTATTAGGAATATGAGAATGTCATTAAAATTTTCCTAAAAAAATTCTCTCTAATAAAGAAGAGGGAAAAATAAATGCCATCTAAGTGAATGAACAATGTGATAAATTTTAAAACAATTCATAATGATGTAAATTTTAAATCCAACACCTTCTATTTTCATTAAAAAAAAAGGCTAATTTTTTTTTTTTTTTACTGAAAAAGTTTCTACCCAGCCCCATAAATGCTATGAACTCTTTGGTCAATTTTGTTATAAGGGTGTGGGTGGATTTAGCCACACCATTGTAATATGGATTATCTAGGCTATCAAACAGCAAAATGATACAAATCATTTTTTTTTTTTTGGGAATCATGAATTTCATCACAGCCAATCTTCTCACATTTTTTTCCCACCAAATTCAATGTAGTGATGACTGCCTAATCAATAAATTTCCCTCTTTGTTTAAACATCATCAAAAAACAATAGTAGTGATGCTTAATCTTCTTTAACAGTAAATTTTATGTACACTAATAGTGTATATATTATTATAGTTGAATGCACGACACGTATATGTAAAACGGGGAAAAGAACTCTCACAAATTTGTTCCTATCTCGTTCGTTGTCCTTCCATTCCTACGGTTGGCAGTTTTCTGTCTGTCGATTCGACTTCCGTGAACGTCAGTTTCCTCATTAATTATGACTTGCCACAAGAAGAAAGATAAATTATTATCAAGGGAGCTAATTTATTATTATTATTATTTTTTTGCAAGTATAAGCATTAAAACAAGCTACTTACTGTATATGAGGAGCATATTTTCAAAGCTGACCCTGCCTAATAATACGTTGTAAATGCTGAGTAACTTTCACAAAGGCTACTTGCTGTATATGAGGAGCATATTTTCATAGAAGTATTACGTCAAATATGGGACTTTTCCAGTGTCTAAAAGTTGTGTTTGCATTAATGATTTTGCTTCTCATATGTGAAGCTAAAATTTGAAAAGCCAATTTGTCGTTTCACCGAACTTGGGGGATGGGATAAAGAAAAGAATATAGTAGTGCCTTTTTAATATGACTCCGAGAGGCATTATTGAGCACGCACTGAAAAAATAAAAAATAAATAAAACAGAACACAAAAAAAGGGTTAATTGCAGTTTGCACCCCTGAACTATTCAGCAATTGCACTTTACAGCTAAAACCAACAACTTTGAACTTGTGATTTTTGGCAATCTACTACAATCAACTAAACTTTGGCAATTAAAGGGCCATTGTCATCTTTTGTTCCAAAAATAACTTTTTATCCATACAATAGACACACAAATTTGGCACCAATAATTAGCTAATTAGTAAAGGATTTAAAAAAAAAAAAAAAACCTGCCTTGCGAATTAGCCACCATAGTTCCACAAAACCCTATTGTAGAATTATCTCGTAAAACAATGGTAGCAAAACCCAACTTCCCCGATGGTGTTTCCTGTCGATTAGGTTCTCTCTCCTCCTAGAATTGGTTAGAATATGTTATAAAAATGTTATCGTTGAGACAAAAAAAAAAAAATCAATTCCCCACTTTTTGTCCAATTGCCCTTAACCCCATAGAAGAAGGAATAATACCACCACCTTTCCCCCCCTCCATTCCCTTCATGCTTCTGACTTTTTGTCCTAGGGAAGGGTTTTGCACCTCCCATCCTAGAGACGAGGAGCAGAGTGAGGGTGGTGTGAATTTTTTTTTTAATTTTGGAGCAAAAAAGTGAATCTTGGAGGAGTTAGAATCAAGATATGCTGTTTAAGGATTGGAATTTAAAAAAAAAAGGTTAGAACAAAGGTTTTACTTTTTCTGGAGGGAAAGATAGTCATACTAGTAGATTCAAGAGGTCAAAATGTTATGGTAACGGTGTGTAGAGGTCCACCTATGTGGGATATTTTGCTATTGATTCTTTTAGTCTATTGATTTTTTGGGATTAATTCATCGGACAAGTTTTAAGAGGTTTTGATGGTGGTAAAGTTCAGAGGTGATGGTAGTGGTGGCGTGGCTGTTTACGGTGACAAGATTTGGATATGGAATTTTTTTTTATCTATTTTTTGTTTTCTTGTCTAATGATTTTCTTGGGTGTTAAATTTGCTTGGTCTGATAATAAGGTCTTTTTTCCTTGTATAGTATAATTTTTGGTATTAAATTGTTTGATATGATAAGGTGGTATGGTGGTAAATTGGTGAAAATGTTATGGTGGTGTGAGAAGAAGTTATGGTGGTAGTCCACTTGTTGTTGATGGTGAAATTTGACATGGGTTATGTTTCTTCTTTTTTTTTTTTTTTTGGTTGTGTATTTGAAGGCACTCCTAAAGATTTATTTGACTCTGCTAATATGAAAATGAAACCGGTATTTTTTGGATGTTTAGTGGGAAATTGAGGGTAAACCAGTACAATCATTCTTTTCTTGCTGAGATTTAGCTTGATTTGTTGATAGTGCTATAGATTAAAAGTTGAAGATAATAGATTGCTGAAATTGAAAGTTTAATGTGTTAAGTCCAATAGTTGAATTGTTGAGGGGTGTAAACTGCAATTAACCCAAAAAAAGGGAAACTCTTCTCCATGTTATTGAAAAATTGAGGAGTTTTTTAATGGGTGCTCAATGAATACTCGTTAACACACATATGTTTTACTCAATCTACCAGGTATATATACATACTAACAATTGTTATTTTTTCTTGTATTTATATGTTTTTTTAATTAATCTTATATTTTTAAAAATTTAATATTCGAAAGGGCACTCGTTAAATAAATCTAAAAATTATATAAAAGGTTTACTTTAATAGTTACAGTAAGTTAATTACACGTATATTTTGTTATTTTTTATATTTTCAAATCATTTTTTTCGCACATTCGTTATAAAAAATGTTATACTATTATTCTAAACAATGAAATATCTAAATGCTACAGTAAACATTCCTAATGTTATGGCATCTAACAATTATAGGATAAATCTACTCTTGATTTTCAATGGAACCGTAAAATGTGGTACTTAAAAACAGAGAGAGAGAGAGAGAGAGAGAGAGAGAGAGAGAGAGAGAGGAAAAAGAGAAAAGTGGACATTAGCGGAATTAATGGTCCTGGAGAAGTTGAATAAAATCCAGTTAAGATACCCATTTAGAGTCCATAAATCTTGTCCTCGTCCACCGTCCACGTGGAGCAATCAAATCAAAGAAACCCCAAGGCTTTCGACTTTTAGCCTTCCTACCAAACTGCGATTCGCCCACGTGTCCCTTTTCTGGAACTTCCACAATCCCTACTTACACGATCCTCTAGGCACCGATGAGACCCCCCATTACGTGGCCCCCTCCTTTAGCCCCCTAGTACTTAAGGACACTCCCTTGTTTCTGATTGGTCCTTCCGTGGGGCCCAATCACGCAACCTTCACGTGGGACCCCGTTATGCATCCTCTTCATGTGGGGCCCATCTGTACCAGCGCCACGTCTCCTCTTCCAACCAATCACCTCTTCTTCTGTTCGTACCATTCCCCTCACACGTGTTGGAGCAGTTCTCACACGCGTCGGACTCTCCTGCTCTTTGCCTTTATATATCCAATCCTCCTTCTCCTTCCTTTATCAGCTCTCACCCTTGTGAAGGGTTTCAACTTTCAACTTTCGTTTTTTTTTTTTACCACCCAAAAAAAAAAGAATTTTTGTGAGTAAATGGATGGAAGAGGAGGGTGTTGCATAGCTAGATATGCTGGAAATACGTACGATATGTCGAAGATGGACCGTATAATGCTGAGATATCGGCCGATCGCGCCGAAGCCGGCTACAAACAGCTCGTGTTCGGGGAGCTCTACGGCGGAGAACAGTGGAGCTTACGTGAAAACCGGCCGAGCAAAAAGAAGGTACGTAAGAAATAGTGGTAAGAAGAAGATTGCTAGTTGTAGTAATGGTGGGGTGACAAAGAAGTGTAGGTGCGCAAGGAAGAGAAAATCCCCTTCTCCCGAAGAAAACGAGTCGATGAATGGCGGTAGAAGCACCGTCTCCACGGGATCGGTATCCGGTGGAGACGGTGTTGGGGTTGGAGTTGTCACTCTACCTTTGTTGCCGGAGACTCCTGAGACGAATCAACGGTCTTCCTCTTCGTCCCAGGAGCGTCCGGCAAGAGGGGCTTCTTCTCGCGGCGTTGAGAAAGCAAAAGTCCCTATGTGGTTGAATTTTGAGGGTGGAGGGTCGTCCCAGCGGGATGGGAAGGCGGGTGGGATGGTGGGCCAGCCGGTCAGGGTGGTAGGGACGTGGGTGAGGGTGGAATGCGTAACTGAAACATGGGCTGGGGTTGGGTTGGATGATGTGTACGGTGGTGGACTGGGGTGTACGGACCAGGAGAAGGTGATGAATCTAGATCGGGACACGTGTCCGGGGTTTGTAACGGAGGGCTTGAGTAGGGTAGTTTGGGTTAACAGGGCGTACCGGGCGATGGTCGTGGGCCAGGAGGAGGCGGAGTCTTCGGAGGAGGAGGTGGTGGTCTGGCTGGTAATGAAGGAAGGATTTGAGCTGCCACCAAAGAACTGGCCGGCGTTCACGTGCAGGGTGAGGGTGGTCACGTGCGGAAAGGGGAATAGTTCCCTGACTCTTCCCTGTGATGTGTGGAGGCTGGGTGGTGGCCATGGCTTTGCATGGAGATTGGATACTAAGGCTGCTCTTTCACTCGGTCGCTGAAAATCGGGCCCCCAAAAAAAAAAAAAAAGAGAAAAACTAATGAAGATGCAGTAATATTTTGAGTTTTTAATGCAGAAAAAGAGAGACGAGGACATGCAAGGATCGATACAAACAGTTGAAATTGTTAATAGTTTTTTGTTCCTTGTGTTTGTTTTAGTGAACTATTTTTGGTTTTTTGTGGAACAACATCGAAGCTGGTTGTATCAACTGTTTGGTGCGACAAAGAAGTCCAAGAAGATCTTCTTGGCTTGACTCTGTGTGTTTAATGGGATCTGCTACCAAGAACTGATTTTGAACACTCTTCCTGTTTTGTGTGTGTTTTTTATGGTGTGTGTAAAACCTTCCATCAAGAAGAACATATAATAAACAAGAAGAATGGCTACTCACTAGTTTTGACTATTGATCTGGTAGTGATTTTCAGCTTAAACTTGATTCATTATTGATACTTAGCTGATTCTTGATGATGATCAATTTTAGATTTTTTTTTTTTGCTTAATCTACCTATTAAACTAGTATTAATACTATCACATCATGATGTCTTTTCCCTGGAATATAGGTAGATCTGGTCTGTATTAGTATATTGTGTCTCTTTTTGCTGTTCAAATGATGCATCGATGTACTAAATTTCTTTTTTTTTTTTTTTTCCGGTTCAAGCTAAACAAACAAAGAGAAAAAGAAATGAAAAGAAAGAAGACGTTTCACAATCGAACCAAGAAACTGCTAATTAGCCAACTGAGCTAGAAGAGGGCGTAGGTAAGAGATTCGAAACCTCTTGTATGACCTATATTTCGTGTCCAGAATTTCTTAAAATATTTTAAAGAGTGATTTAATTTTTTCCGAATTATTTTGAGTCCCGAATTTCTTAAAATATTTTTGGAGGTGGTTTATTTCCATCCCCTATTCCTCTATTAATACGGATCATTTGTAAAAATGTTGTACTCGAAAGGATAAAATGTTATACTCGAAAAAGAGAATGAAACTGTGAGGGGAGGGATGGGTTGCGTGGTACGTTGAGGGGAGTGTAAGCAAGAGTCTCGGGTTCGAGTTTTTCTGTTTACACTAAAAAAAAAGAAAAAAAGAAACTGTGAATTGTCGGTCAATGAAATTGTTTTCCTTTGGGGATCATTATTGATACTAGTCCGGTATATTCCTAATTTTCTCTGCCTCCTTAACCGTATCTAGGTGTGTTTGGATTACAAGATTTTTTTTATAAAAAAAATATTAAATTTTGTTTTGCTTGTATTATACACATAATTTTTAATTTTTTTTTATTTCATATACATTATATCACAAAAAAATATTACAGTAATTATTTCAAATAAATATTTTAAATAACCTCTTATCCAAACCAACCCAGTCTGTTTTTATTAAGTGCAACGCTTTTGCGTGAGTCAACTCTTGAACTCTGTGGTTCATATTTTGTCTTAAAATTGTTGAGCCCATGTAGCAACTGCAAATCTTTCTCTCTCTTTTATCGATAAAAATAGGAATTGAAACCATATAATAAAAGAATACAAGCTATCAACATGCAAAAGATGGAAGCCGATGGACCAATCAAAATGGAACAACTAGTAAATTCTAAAGAACAGTCAATTATAAGTTATTGTTAAAAGGCTCACGATTAAAAAAAAAAAAAAATTGACCTTCCACTACGTACTTCTTCAAATTCTTTTGTAAAAAATTATAAAAGAGATGAAGTGTCATTAACATTATCGTCACACTTACGAAATGTGTATTAGGACAAGGACCATATAACATAGGTGGAATGCAATGAACTGTGCCCAGATGGAGGGAAAAAAAGGGTAACGAATTGACTTGGTAAATTGTTCTAGTTGAATTGACTCAAGTGAGGATGGGAAAAGTTAGACCTTAGCCGTTTCGTGCTACAAAAGAAGTTGGAAGGAATGGGCTAGAATGATGCAATGTGTCAGGTTGTACTTGACTTTTTACCGTTGCCATACTCTATGGTAGTCCCTGTGAAACTACAATCTCTTCGGACGACCGTCCAGGCAGTTCACGATCTGGATGAAGCCTTAAAAATTTGTGTGATTCAGATCACGTTTTATAACTCGATTTTCACGTCGTGTGAAACCCACAAAAATGTTATTTTATTTTACTCGCTGTTGTTCAATTGTTACATCTTGTACAGATGATATTATACCATATACAAATGGTGTTACACCTTCCCGAGCGGTTGTTCTGACAATCGCTCCAGCCCCACGTCCAATCTTTTCCAATCTCTTACTCCGTCGCATCACAAACATATAGGTTCACTTTTTTTTTTTCCCCCAATCCAATCTATCACACGAGGGGAGGGTATAACTCCTATTTATTTTTCATAAAGACTCGATGCGGAGATAAAAAGAATAAAATTGTCTGCAATGTTTCTTTTTTCACTGGAATTGTAGTTCAATTGATTACAGCACCATCCCTTCAAGATGTAAGTTGTGGGTCTAAGCCTCGACAATCTTGACGGATCCAATAAATATAACAATAAATTCATTTTCCCCTTTCTATGAACTATGAAAAGGGATCTGTTCTAAATTATAGGCTTGTTTTCATTTTTAAAGAGTAGTTAGTTTGTTGTTTTACTAGCATACTTATATTTAATGTGCATAGTTATTAGAAATTTTTGAATATATTAGTTGTCTTCTAATGGCTCCAAATCGAAAAGTTTGATTGTTTGGAAAATTTATTTTTATTATTTATTTTAGCGAAACATGTAACATTAGATTTTGATTCACGTGCAGGTTTGTTTGGATTGATGATCATTTGGGAAAAAAAAATTCCGCAAGAACATGATAGCACTTTCTATGATATTATGTACGTCAATTAAAAGTTAAAGTGATTAGGAGAAAAAAGTAATTAAAAAATATGTCAATAATAGAAAAAAAAAAAAGGTATATCCAACACATATGTACATGGTTACAAGTTAATATCCTAAGGGGCAGGGAAAGAGGCTAGAGTTGTGTTTCAACGAATAGAATACAACCCTCTCATGTTGTTTGAGGAAATGGATCCAAATCCTCTGCAATTACAGTTAGCAATTGCAGAGTGCAATTAATGGTTCAGTGTCATGAACTTAGGCCATGCTTGGATTGCTTGTTTCTGTCGGAAAATATTATCGTTTTTCGTGATCACATTTCCCTATCACTTTTTTCCCTCACATATATCAAATCGCTACAGTATTTTTTCTATGAAAAATGACGGAAAATGCAATCCAAACACAACCTTAGTGTCTACATTTGTTAGTTCAGTGTCTTATGTCTACTGTGCCTCAAGTTTTGCACATAAAAAAAAATCATTGAGAATATGAGTGTGTGTAACATAAAAAATTTGCACATAAAAAGCCTTTACCGTCACTGTCTATGGAAATTTGCTTGCCACGGTGTGAAAAATTTGTGCAATTGTCTTTTTATTGTCTCAGGATATATTTGAAATTGGATTCAAACTTGTAAATTTCGATATCCAATTAATGACTGAGTAAATAACGTGGGATGTGAATTTTCTGGTTTCACAACATTATTGTTGTTTCTATTCGCCTGCATTGCTGACCGGATTGATTCGGCTTATTCTTAATTTCATTGATAGGTGATTGAAAGAATTACCATAAATTATTAAAAAATGTGTTAGTAGTCTGCTCTGACCTTGAAATGGTGTAACCTTCTCCTCCTATTTCACCTTTTGGGACCCCAAAACAAAAAAAAAGTTTGCATTAAAATGAGGATTCAGTAAGTAGGGTTCCCTCCTCTTAATCTTTTTAGGACCCCCCAACAAAAAAAAAAAAAAAACAAGGGATAATGTCGAAAACCCCCCTTGAAGTTTCTGATAATCATGGCCACTTTCCCCAAGGTTTGAAAAATGATAGTTACCTCCCTTGGTGCTATGAAAGAGCTGTGATAGCTTTCGTAAACTATACAAATTTTTTAAGTGAAAATGAGTTTAAAAGAGAAAAATAAAAATTCTTTTTTTGGTAATACTTATTTATTCTAAAACTCTAACGTCATATAATCTAGTGCATTATTCTTCATTTTCAAATTTTTGTGACTGGATTTATCAATTTAAAAGTCGACCAACCGATTGGGGAGGCATTTGTTAAAACAAGTATTTTTAAAAATTAATTAACCAAAAAAAATGTCCGAAGTAGTACCAGAAAAGAAAACTTTCAAAACATGACTTAATTTTTCTTGTAAAAATCTAACTTGAAATTTTCATCCAACAAACAATGGTGATAGTTGACCTTTTAGTATTTAATTTGTTTTACATATCAAAGAGGGTTAATATTGAATATTTATTGAATTACCTTTTTTTTTTCTTACATCATCAATTGTTATTAAGACATACCTTTTAGGAGAGGTTTCGTAACTTTTCAAACCTCAAGAGAGGTGGCTGCAATTGTCAAAAAACCTCTAGGAAAGTTTCTGAAATTATCCCAAAAAGAAAAAAAAAATGTACCATAAATTTGCTGTCATGCTAAAATGAGGATTGGGAACCTCTACAATTGTTACCTGAAAACTTTGATTGAGCAACAATTGATGTGGTCCAATAATGCTTTTACTCAAACTGTCACTCCAAAAGAAAATATGTTCACAAATGTACAATCACTAGCGCACACTTGGAAGACATCAACCATGGCCTGCAATGGCAAAGGTCCCACCTTTCTACAAGACCAACTACCGTTTTATTGGCCCCGTTAGATGCCTGAATGATTGAATGGGCGGAGCCATGATGTGACTGAGGGGGCTGGCCACCAAATGGCCCTCCTCAATTGACTGGGAAATTCATAGTTAGTTGGAGGAAGTAAAAATTTAAAATTCAGGAAAAATCTCTTGTTCAGCTGCAAAGATTATCAAGCCAAACAAAGAAAGTTTTAAATATTTTTTTTTTCAACGGCATCAAACTTAAGTTGCCAGATCAGAAGTTTGAATGTTTTTAGAGAAAATCACGTTTGAATGTTTATAGTTAAAGCTGTAAATTAGTCGAATTGGATCAAAATATGACCTAATCTTATCGAGTCACAATTTTACTAAACTCGAGTTCGACTTCAAATTTGAGTCAAATCAAACTCGAGTTCAAGTTTAAAAAATATAAAATAAATTATTTTATTTTTAAAAAATAAATAAAATAGTAATATTTTCTTGATAAATAATACACACACACACACATATATATATATATTTATATACAAACAAACGGCTCAAATTTGAGCTCGACTTGATCAATTCAAATTCGATTCGAGTTCAATGTTAACTGAGATCAAGTCGAGTTTTGACCGAATCGACTCACTCGGGGGAGCGC